GACAAAGCAGCCACACCGAACCTAAGGACTGGGAAAGCCACATCCCCCAGGCAGCCACAAAGCCTGAGCATCGCGCACGAGGCCACAACGGGCAGCAGCCCAGTGTTACCTGGGGTGGGCGAGGGCGGGGCAGGGGTGCAGGGCTCGGGTGATGGACGGTGGTGACTCTCTTGGTGATGTCATAGCTATCGCCAGAAAAGACCAAGTGCTGTATGTGTGTGTGACTTTACCACTCAGCAGCCACCAAAACAAGAGGGTGCAGTTGCTGATCCGACTAGGGTACTAAACTCGCAACTCACGGATTACCGTGTTTTCAAGCTGCTGACACGCGCACTATACAGCGCAGCCCGCCTGTTGGTCCCTGTGCACATTATGTGATGATGCTTTTCTGTGAACACCCAGTCCTCCTCAGTTCAGACGTCTAGGGCCAATGGAGTGACACAAACATCACACTGGCAGTCTCTTGTGAGTAGTACCTGGGGGCGTCAAAGCTTGCATGGAGTCCATCAAAGACAGCCACTGGCCTCCACTTGCCTGGAGCAACAGATGGAGCAGCAGAGAGCCCCTGGACCCAGGAATCAGAGGAGAAGCTGGAGAGCAGGAACTATGCTTCCTGGTCCTTACAACCCTAAGAACTGGGTGGGAGCTTGGATCAGACTTCAAGGACCCAACAAGAATCTGGTCAACAGGGGAGATTAAAATTCTCCGATTCCAGGAAGCTGAAGGAACTCCAATGTATTGTGGGGAACATCTTTAAACTCTGAACCACAGCCACCCCGTGAAGTTACCTTGAAACTGATCAACAGTCTAATGACTAAAGAAGGTTCATCTTCAGCACTTCACTCTGTTAAAAGAACATCTATAATGAGACCAAACAGACAACAGAAACTCTGAGTCACCAATGAGACGCTTGGAGGCAGCGAATCTAAGTCAAAGGAAGCCTGGTTGTACTGAGCTACTGCTACACGGAAGACTAGGCAGCGTGTGTGCCTCTGTAAAGAGTCAATCTCATAAACCTTGGAGGAGCAGTCTGCTCTGTCCTAGAGAGTTGCTGTGAGCTGGAAGGGACAGATTCTAACAAGATGGATGGAGTCCTGGTATGCTGCGGTGAAAGCCACCAGCTGCTCCTCGGAAACCCCACACGGCGTGCACCAGTCTCTAGGATAAAAACACGTGTGCGTGTCAAAGGCTAAAACTGGCCTTAGAAACAGCGGTTTCTACAATTAACAAAATAAAGTAACCAGAGAGAAACCTAGAAAGAGATGTGCAGGATTTTGGGAGTAATCCAGTTTCATCTGCATGGACAGTGAGGTGAGCTGTGTCCATGTTCGGCCAAAGCTTCTTCAAGCACCAAGGTCACTCAGATACATCACACTGCACAGGAGGCCCCACGGGTGCAAACAGTGAAGCATTCGACCCAACAGGTTCCAATTCAAACCCACCCACAGGCACCTTGGAAGGAAGACATGTGAAGTTCTACTCTATACGAGAGGTCACACGGTGAGTTTTCACCTCACGCCACCACCTATCCCAGGCCCCTACACGTCTACAGCTAAGGACAGAGCACGACAGCACCGTGGTTCTGACACAAACCCATCACGGCGCTGCAAAGACAGGCTATGGGCCGGTAGTCCCTAACCACCAACCTAGAATCAACCCCGAGGACAAGACTTCAGGATGTCACAGGCGGTGGCTTTGAGACCCGGGGTGGGGAGTGAGTCTCCATCAGACACAGGGTGCAGAAAGGTCCCCAGACCCACGAGTGTCCAGTCAGTCATCAAGGCACTATCACCCTGACACGGCTGGTCTTCCCACACTCAGACACACTTACGGAGGAGACAACAGGGCGGGGATGAGCTTTAAAACCGCAAGTGAAGTGGCAAACACTGTGTTTGTTCTTGATATTTCTAAAGACGAAAACGTCACACACACAGGAGTGGGCAGACCTGCCAGGTGGGAGAAGTGCTGACGGCAGCTCTGAGAGGCCTGGCTGCTCCCGGCTGTCGGTCTGGGCAGCACGTGTCCAACACGCTCCCATCTCCGGTCATCTCTGCATCACCTGAGCCATCACAACGAGTCCTCCCCAGGCACAGCAGTCTCCCCCCTCGCTGGTCTCTGGATCCCAGATATTTACAACCCTTTGTGACCTGGAAGCTATTCCCAAGTAAGAGGCTCCGATACAAGTTGACGCTGTCCCTCTGGGCCCCCGTTCTCCCCAGTGTCCCCCCAGTCCACGGATCCAGGACACCTGAAGCAGCAGTCTGGGTCCCGGCTGAGAAGCACTGAAAGCCAGTGGCCCATCAACAGACTCAGCTCTGAGGCGTCCTGGAGAAAGGAGGGAGCAATGCCCCCCAAAAAGCGTCCAGGTGGCCGGGAAAGGGGGCACTAGATGTGTGCCTGAGAGCTACAGGAGTCGGAGAGGCAGACAGGGCAGGAAGGGGGAGGGGGGGGAGAACCAGGTGTGCCAGCTCACGGGAGGGACCCTTTACACGGGATCCCCTCGGGAATCCGGGACATGACGCAGCCAAAGAGCCTGGCAATGGTGCGGGGGGAGCCCCAGCTGCTAGCACTGTTGTCACTCGCCTCCGCTTTTCTACTCAAAACAAATCTGTCCCCCAGCTGGCCTGCCTCCATCCCAGAGGCCACCTGTCAGCTACAGGCCCAGACACAGGACCCTGCTGGATGCGATGCCAACCAGTGATGCCAGTCAGGGGCCGGTACTGGAGATACATCCCACAACCGGCCCCTTCACTTTCCCCGTTGTCTCCCTCAATAGCTGCTATCTTGGGGACCCCAGGGCCGCTCTCCTAAGCACATCTCCAGGTCTGACCTGGCCCGCAGGTTCACACACGCTCTGTCTCTGCCAGGGGCTCAGGTGGAGGACCCCCACAGCAGGTTGAGGCGTCTATGAAATACGACAGAAAGTCTAGATACGTGGACAGCAGACATCCCGCACACATCAGCTGGGCCGGTCATCAGTGCCGTGTCCAGCAGAGTGGAGCCAGGCCCTGAGCTGCTCAAGCGCTGGTCAGTACTCACTCGCCACTTTGCTCAGGGGCTGGGGCTCCAAGGTGACTGGAGCGCCACACACAGGCCAATTGTGCTTCGCGGTCCCCCCAGAGAAAAGCTTCCCTCAGGACAGAGCCCACCCGGCAACTCAGCCCAACCCGTGACACGTTCAACCCCTAACGGTGCTTGTTGACAAACACAAAACACTGCAAATCACAAACAGGCCAACATCCGATTGGTGGAGGGTCATCTTACACCTCACTAGTAAACATCCCACGCCCTCTGTGCAGGCTGGAGGACAGCTGCAGGTTTATCACAGCCAGAAGACAGTGCAGCCCAGGTGGGGACATGCGCCTCCTCTCAGCTTGCCTCCTCGGCCTCCACGTTCACACCCCTGTACAGTGGGGCACCAGGCTACCCCCACCCTCCACATTCATACCCCAACACAGCTGTGCAGTGGACACCAGGGTCCCCCGCCCTCCCTATTCACACCCCAACACCACTGTGCAAAGTGGACACCAGGGTCCCTCTGTCCTCCACATTCATACCCCATGCCTGCTGTGCAAAGTGGGCACCTGGGTCCCCCCACCCTCCACATTCACACCCCACGCCTGCTGTGCAAAGTGGGCACCTGGGTCCCCCCACCCTCCACATTCACACCCCACGCCTGCTGTGCAGTGGGCACCAGGCTCCCCCCGTCCTCCACATTCATACCCCAACACGGCTGTACAGTGGACACCAGGGTCCCCCCGCCCTCCACATTCACACCCCACGCCCGCTGTACAGTGGACACCAGGGTCCCCCTGTTCCCTGTTCTCCACATTCACACCCCACGCCTGCTGTGCAAAGTGGACACCAGGGTCCCCCCGTCCTCCACATTTACACCCCACGCCCACTGTGCAAAGTAGACACCAGGGTCCCCCTGCCGTCCACATTCACACCCCAACACAGCTGTGCAGTGGACACCAGGGTTCCCCCACCGTCCACATTCACACCCCAACACAGCTGTGCAGTGGACAC